GTTCACATGCCTTAATGGTCTCATGTCTTCTATTGTCTATCTAAACCAAGGCCTACTCTGGGGGGTGCAAGTGTTATTCCAATTTCTTTTCTCTCTTTACATTCACACTTTATCACTCACCCTATATGCCTTCATAATTAAGAATGCAGTCGACCTAGTGGTTTAGTTGCATGTACACTAAAGCTAACGTGATAGTGTTTTCGCAGAGAATTCTGTCCACGACGGACGAATAAACTGCGTCTATCTCGGGCATACTACAGTCCATTTGATAAAGAACTCCGGGTTTCCCACTCTCAACACCGGAAAATCTCTTGCGGCGAATCATGACTGTATTTGGTTTGATCATCCTGGTTTGGAGCTGCTTATCGAAACTCAGTGTCCCTGTGAGCGTTCGATCAAGTCCCGGTTCAAATTCCAACATTTGCACTCTAATTACGTTAACCTTCTGCCACGGGACTCGGTTCGAGGTGAAGCATATTCACGCGTCCAGGGTCCCATGAGGAAGAATCGTTTAGGGAGTGTCAAAAAGCGTATTAAGTTACCATGACAGATAGAGAGCTGGATGAAAACAACAATTTCACCGAGGCGATTTTTCATTATTTCTATCAAGGAGAGAGATAATAGTCCACACCTACGCAAAGCGGTTGCTAACAGCACAATCAACGACTCCAAGTAGCAATATAGATGAGCTGGTGGGGTATACTTTAGCAGCAATACTAACATTACTTTTGATAATTTCATACATAACAAGCGCATTCTCCATGTTAAGCAAGGGGTTCGCGACCCATCGAGAATGGGCAATTGCAGTAAGGGTGGAGTTGATCACAGACTACGAGACAGTGCAGTGGTCCACATAAACCGTTCTCTCTGTATTGTCAATACATGCTTAATTCTTGGCCATTTACAAGCCTTCTAGGTCACGCCAACTGATTACCATAGAACCTCCGGTTTGACATCAGATCAACGATATACGTTTGCATCTCTTTAGACGGCACTTTGGTTTTCTTATCTGTTGGAGCTCAGATGAACCAATCAAGTTAAGCAATAAGCATGCCACTACGGTTGGTTAATGGAAGGGTGTGTGCGCATGCTGTTTCAGATGACCTCACTCATGACCTCACTCACGACCGCACTGACAACATGTGACGTAAGACCGACCCGAATGAGCGACCGTTTTCACATCTGGATAACCACTGTAAGAAACGCGATGATTTACATATACCGTCTTGAAACTAGCACGTAAAGGAGAGGACGAGTGGTTCATTAGCGATCCATTCTCTAGACCGAGGATGATGCATGAGTAATGCATCCTGTGTTCGTTCAAACATGTGAACATAAAATCCGGTCAAGTTACGGACTTCTATTGTACGTCAGGGATAGAGATTGCTTAGAGAATACGACATGGAGTCACGCTGTCCTACCTATTTCGAATGTGGTGCTTGTGAAGACTATAGTTATTATGCCGTTTGTACTACTGGAACAGTTAGAGTATCCGCGCTTAACTGTATAATCTTGTTGGTTAGGATCTACTATTAGGGAGCGTGCTTCTCTGTAGGGTTTCAACCTCAAATTCGGGTATTGTAACGAAGGATTTTGGGGTGGGGCTTGGAGAAGTAAAAATCACATTCTAAATTATTTATTACATCGAATCACGGACTGCTAGCATCGATTGATCTCACTTTGGAGCTGCTGGCTCCTACGTGTGGACAGTTTGGGTTGACGAACCAATCCACAAAACAGCATGAACATATAGTACTAATTGGTATCCCCAGTTCCAATTGAAACGAAATTGATGCCAATGACCTTATTTAGTGGTGGACTCATGTCGCGCACGCCATGATCCTTTCCATGAACAGGTATACCTTGCTATTTTAGAGTGGTCTCTGGTTGTAACAGTAGAGACCTTCGTTCATTGTTTGAGATCATTTATCTATAGTGAAGCAATGCCACCTTATTCAATATTCGTACGATAGTGACGCAACCCGTAGAGTGCATGAGGTAATCCAATCCTCCGCGATAATGCCAACCAAGGAGATAGGCGTTACAGATTCAGGGAAACAAAACAGACCAACAGTTTGGACCAAGAAATAGCCATCCGGTTCAAACAGGGGTTCTTTAAAGAAAAGAACTCGAACTGCGATTGGTTCAGGCCTATTTAACCAATCAATCCTGTTGCTCTCTTTCAATAAACTAACTATTGCCACTGTGAACTTCTCCTACGTCTTGGTGTCGATTGATCTCAACAGGTGATGACTGGTTCAATTCCGTGTTTCAGAAGGAAAGAAACCGAAAGATTTACTACTGATTTATCTCCTATATTAATGTTCGGAGTTTCAGACAACTGAACACTCTGTGATGGCGACTGCCCGAAAAATTGATTACATCGATCCATTGGGTGGGGAGTTGAACAAATTAAAAGGTGCACCATCGGGGGAACAAATGTTCTATAGGGTATATTATAGGGAATGTGATGGAATGACCAATGAAACCAGAGTAAAGGACATTTTCCCATTTATATAGCACCATTTGATTCACACTAATTATCAAATTGTTTCTGAAATGCAAAACCAACTGAATTACCTCGTTCATGATCAAAAAACATCGTACCCAATATACTCTTAGTTCCATGTTCAGCAGTGTTCCATTTATGTACTCTATCCACTTTGATCCAACATGAGATTACAAGCTGAACGCAAGTCACGAGTGCAGTTCGTGTGACGGTGACTTGAAGCGTCATTAGATAGACAGAATAACCCAAGATGAATAAGAATACAAGATAACCAGATTATACGGCTTTTTTCGTAATGTTTTCACAGCAGCATAGCTAATGCTTGCGGCAGAAGAAATAGATTTATATTAAAAAATAAACGAATCTGTCAACCAACAGCTTTTTTTTTGCTAAAATGTATGTATTGCTCAGGAACCGGAAGGTTTGATGCACACAATTGAGTAAAGGAATCCAACTTGCTATGGGTAAAACTTCCATTTCCCAGTTTTATCTTGATTGTGAATATAGGAAGATAAACACTGCTCAATCGATCCCTACGAATTTGCGCGTTTGAAAATGTTCAGTCTTAGCTAAAACACATCGAGAAGTCGCTGAAAACCAAGGGATTTCTGTGATGATCCGGGCCTACGAGATGACGCGTACTCTGGAGCGACGCGTTACAGTTTTTGGACAACTGTGGTCAATCGAACTTCACGGGTGACGTCAACAACGCGCATACGTGTCACTGTTTCTGACTACATACCATAGGTAGGTCGTACCAGCCAACTGGAGACCGTGCGGCCCAGACAGAAGCAGAACGACGCAAGCAATACTGAAACGCGATTGGTAGAAGCCCGGATAACCAATGAACTTACTTTGTACATGTTATTTAATCCCCATTATTTCTTCCAACAAATGAACTACTACTCCTGTGGCCTTTTCCTCTTGTCTCAGTTACGTGGGATATCGCGTGCTAATGCCAGTGTGACCCAGTGCTTACGCTTCCGTGATTGCTAATCCTTGATTGGTATTCCGTGATCCGTATTGCGTGGTTCGCATTCCGAGTTCAGTGTTTACTACTACCATTACCACAATTACAACAATATCCTTAGCTGAAGACACCATGCATGTAAGAGACTAGAAATCCGGGTAAATCAAATTGTGGTTTAGTTTGAACTGCCATACAAGGCTGATGGTGATGTAGTTCGAGTGTGACGGAATCGACTTCATCCATTCATCGCTCAGTTTATTTTGGTTGCCTTCTCCATTTCGCATTACAGCACAAATTGGGTAGTAACTCCACCAATTATTACTTGCTTCTCCGGCCTCCTATTCATCAAGTTTCGTTTTGGCTGTTAATTGGAATGTCATAGCGGTGGACCGAAGAGACAGTTACAGTTATCTAGTAGTTAAGCATATTCCGAATTGGATTCAACTGGAGGTCAGCAAAAACGAGTGCGACAAGCAATTTTGATGAATCTGCCTTACACAAACCTGACCAAGCTACTACAAGTTGAGGAGAAGATAGCCACCAAGAGATGGAAACGCACTTTGTGATAATAGAAAGATCTTTGCGTAACTTAGTATCCAGCTTGGACATTTATGTCAAATTGTCATCCGTCTTTAATATGGCAGTGTTTTCTGGAGAACTAATTCAATTTTTCTCCAGTGAGCACCATTTCAGATGCCACGAAACGGTTCTGGGACTGGGTCGCGCAATTTCACAATTTTGTGTTCTTTGTTCTAGTCACTCTTTTTGCAGATGAATGTTCCTATTAATTCAATATATTGACAATAAGGTTCCTCTTTAGATTCCACAAGTGTACTGTCAACAGTATTCTCTATATGTCTAAAGTTCCCCAAAGACCAAGTCATGATTACATTTTACCATGTTACTATACAAATATATCTCCACAAGGAGAAATTTACTATAAAACAAGCACTGATAGATAAAAACATACAACCAGGAACTTACTGTTAAAGATATGAGTCTACCACCTACTAGCTTAGGGCTCGAAAGAGACCTAACTATGAGTAAGTTAAACCTGAAATTTGCAATGGGACCACGCGATACCAAAAATTCTAATATAGTGGATCGAGTAACTAACAGTTGAATTTGGTCGTTTGTAGATCCTCGGCGATTAAAGCTTTATTGATCTATCGACGCTATTCGCATTATATGCCTTTTGTTCCTATCTAAATGTTCTCCTATCGGCAATTATTCCCAAGTCATTTTGTCAATCTTTGCTCTTTCATTAGATGAAATTTTTACTCGTGGGAGAGGGGACAGTTTTCGCATAACCTTTGCACGCACTACTTTGCGTTTTCCTACCTATGCCGATCTCGTTGACCACGGAGATGCAATCTTGTTACAGCAATCCTATTGGTTAGTCTTAACTGACCAATGCCCCTCACCGGAACATGACAGCTTGCGCATTGAAAATACGTTGATAAATTTGCATGTGAATGTGAAAACATTGAAAATGGGTTCAAGCGAAAATGATGTACTCACACACTCCCGTTCCAAACGTGTGATTGTGTCCTCTCGCTTGATGAGTTCGCGTTTCAGACTGTCGATCTCAATCTTCAATGGCTAGGGGTTTCAACAAAGATTGACCATAGGAGAAATGAGTGAGAGATCGATAGCCAAAATAAGGTGATAAGTAAATGTTCAAAATATGAGACTGTTACAAACTATGAGCAACAGATACATCCACTGAATTTCGCACCAATTTACTATTTCTGTCCTGGAAGCAACCAACTTACAGATGCCTTTCCATTAGTTCCAGGTTCCACAGATCCGCCCAGTTCTTCGATCTGAGCTCGGGCAGCTTGTAGATCACGCTGTAAAGATGCCACTGTTTCACTTTGTTGTTTTAACTGAATGGGGGATTGAAAATGAGATAATGAAGGGAAATTCAGTAGTCACACTGGAGATGATGTTTCCACGATGCGATAAAGCAACAACTGAAACTGGTGTCCCCCAAGGACACATGGCACCTCTGATGACGATGATGACAATCCTCCATCAAAGAGTGATTCAAGCCTCAACGAATCATGTATGTGTATGGTGGATTTCGTCGTGTATAGCGTACAAGAAATGAGAACTGAAAAGCTGTTTTGACCTAATCAGCAGTGCGGGAACTCATTACAAGTAGAACGTGAGCACACCACCCAATCGGTTACCAGGCGGACTGTTTTTCTATTTGTCTTTACACGATATAGCACAACCCATCCTTGCGAGGTTGTTGTGGGTATCACACTTCGCTTATCTCAGTGCTAACCTTCGGGGTTATGAATCCGTTGGAGACATTCCAACCAAACTAAGTGCCACAAGAGAATAGTGGAGGATTTGATTCAATTATTTAGTGAATTTCATCGTGCATAGCTTTTCAGTTCATGCTTCATTTGCTCCATACACGATGAAATCCACCATATAATTGAATCAAATCCTTCAATACGCTCATGGTTATTAATTCTTTGAGTGGCTGAAATTCCTTGTTGCGTGGAAAAACGGTTGACCACACCAACCCAGTCTTGTCGTGTGGAGACGAGTACCAGACAAAGAAAAGCCAAATTATCCCCCAAATGAATCATATCAGGTCGCAGTTTTGTGTTCTAATTTCACATAAAATACAATCACTTACACCTGTGCAAACAACTTCGCAAAGGCGTGTTTGTGTGAGAAGTTATTTCTGGCCCCAAGTAATATGAGGTTAGATTCCATAAATAACCGTCACATCTACCGCCAACCAACTAACGGATTTTCACGCCCGGAAGTGGGACCGGTCAAGTGTAGTATACTGTCATCATCACATTAACCCAATAAAAGAAAAGAAAATCCAAGTTCTGCGTTTTCCAAAACAGCCTGTGCCTTGTGATGGAAATATTTGTGCTAACAGACAAAGTGTACTGGACAGCTGTTTCTTCCGATTTGGGACTTGTCAGTAGTGCGTACTTTTTGTGTCCCTTTGATGACCCGAATTGCGACCCAAGACCATCAAGAGTGCCTGGTGCCTCGAATGGGCTAATCCAAGCTTGATACAACCTGTTCCTTCTTGAAAATTCTGTACACAACGACCTATAGTCTTTAATAGAATGTCGATAGATCAGTGAAATTATGTTTTCTGAGCCATAAATGCATTCTACTTGAACTGTCACAAACTAGAATGACAGTGAACGGACACACACACATACCTGATTATCCTCCAACGATTCCAAAAGATGTGCTTTTTCTTCTAATTGAGCTCTGGTCAACCGCAATTCATTTTGTAGTTGATCCAGCTGTTGTTCCAAATGTTGTCTGGTGGTGGCTGCCTCTTTGATTTCCGCTTGCAGTAGGTGAATCGTTTCCCGATCTGTCTCCCTTCCCATACTATCCGTACTCAGTCTTCGCATACCCATTTCTCCAGCTGATGCTGTTTGTTGTTGTTGCTGTAGTTGTTGAGCCTCCTGTTTTATTTGTGTCAGGTTGGCTTGTGTTGTGCTCAGTTCTATAGTCATCTGTTCCATTTGGCGTTGCTGATTCTGATATTCTCTATTCAACTGATCCAGTTGGATAGTGTAACGTTGGATCTGTGAAGTTGGGAGTAAACAGATTGGTAAGTGAAATGGTATTCATTGAGTCATGCAAGCAAAACGATTCGACGATGATAGTGACTGTGTGTAAAATGCTCACCTCGGAATCCTTCATTTGAATCTGGTTTCGCAGCATGTTACATTCCATTTGTAACTGTTGCAGTTGCTGAAGGTCATTCATCTGACTCTGGCTCTGTGGATGTATGCATGGGAAAGTGAGAGTGTGTGAGTTAAGGCGAAGTGGAACGAGTAGGAATACGATGAAAACAAATGCTGAGCAGGTTGCATTTGATCACTCGTCCTGGAAAAAAGGATTCATATTCACGCTACTCATGAGTAGGTAACATGTATTTCATAGCAGTGGGGGTGTGCCAAGCCAATTTTTGGGTATTTCGGATGTCAATACACCCTTTAGGCAAGAAGATAAAAGTGCTTCATTTCAAATGGGGTATTCTGTTTAGCTCGAAATGTGTGACGACCTAATTAATTAAACGAAAACACATTAACTTGAAAGTGGAATGTGAAAAAAGAAGCCAGTGTAGCAACAATGTATGATTTGTGGTATTGACAGAATGCTCAAGATCGATGAGGCAAGTGCAATTGACCGATGGAGACCAATTTTGGGTTCACAGGTGGACTTGTTTATCACACCGAATTTACTTTGCTGGCCCTTCTCCCTTAAATCATTCACGTTTGTTCATTCTGTAATCTATTTATTCCCAAACACTATATATACAATGTATTTGTCTGCTATAAGCACGATTTGAGATGCACCAAATTCGTCCAGCAGATAAGTTATGCGGTGCTGCTACACTGGATCACATTTTCAAAATCATTCTTTTGTTCAAAGATAAGAGCATGAAAATAGAAAAGAAGGTAATATAGGAATTGGGGTCAAACTGGGACTACGGTTTCCCTCACTTGCATCGTACATTGGACCAGGGAAAATGCCAACCCATCCCCCATTGAAAACGATGCCAGTTGTTTCAAAAACCATCTACAGCCTTTACAACTCATTCCGGTTGAAAATACCTTGCGGATACAAAAATAAATAAAAAATCAAATTCAGTTAAAGGTTTGTTTTCCTCCTAATGACTAATATTTTCACTTTCTGCTGTATTCAATTCACCGATTCTTCGTGTTCGCCTTAAAAAAAACTATTTATGAACGCGCAAGATATCAAATTTCGCACCCCGATCAACGTACTTCCGAATCTGTTTAGTCTAGGCAACATCTAACCTTTCGTACTCTTACGACCCTAATACTTGCTCCCTGCTATCTGCTCAGTGGAATTCAGGTCTGGTGTGTGTGTATGTTTGTGAGCCAAAGCAGCTTTCATACCGGGTGATTTTTGTTTAGTTCACGAGGATGGGGAGCCTAGTTCACTTCCTGTTGAATCGATTAGTTATCGATTGCTGATGAGATTAAAAACACATGCGCTCTCGGAATACGACAACATCCTTCAACACTACCGTTTAGATCCCTCCGATCATGCATTTTGTACACCACACGGTGAAGGGTCATTCTTCACGTTTGAAGATGGGATATGTGCACCGCATCAGAGATTTCTACCATTTTTCTCACCAAATTTTGGATCATCCGACAGGGCCTAACGGTAAGTCGTGATTATTCGGTCCGACGCAAACGACTCTGCATCATTTAATTAAGATTTACTTTCATGAGCTGCGTTCATAAAGTGCCTGTGGTCACCACGATACCGACCTCATGAGTGGGCGGGGGGTGAGGGACATGAGTTAAAAGCCTTTCATTGTCACCGTCAGACTTCCTCTTTGATGTGCTTTTAGGCAGCGCTTGGGTGCCTGTAACCCACTCCCCTCCGGAAAATGGTTTGTGAAAAGAAAAGATTACTACTACTACTACTACTACTACCCGGTCAAGAGTACTCTAAACCTAGATTTCCAACGATATCCGTTCTACATTGACTGTTTGTTGTTGGTGATTGCTTGGAAAGTGTTTTGATCAAAACGCGGAACGAGTGAAACGGGTGGATTTAAAGTATGGAATGAACAATCGGTGACTTGAAAATAGTGGATGGTCAGGTCCAATTACATGATGAGTTTCTTCCTGTTCAGAGCAAACGAAGCGTGAACTGAAAAGTTGGGGAGCACTGTACAGCTGTTTCGACCTTATTGGGTTTCCTCAGCGTTCTACCTGTGAGTTTAATCCCCAGTTGAGTCAATGGCTTCGCAATACTGATGAGACCCAGACAGGTCGAAACAGCTATCCAGCTTTTCAGTCCTAAGCTTCATTTTCCATGTACATCACGAAATCTTCCATTGTCGAAACAGCCAAGTATTTTGAATTGGCTTGATGTGAAAATGATGGAGATTATTAAAGCAATCCGGTGCAGCTCTTGGGGTAGAACGAGGTGTTACTTTCACTGTCCATTTGTAAGTTTATTTATATTGTTTCGTAAGTCGTAGTTCAGGCATTTCCCCCCAGAGCATTTAAGTGAGTAAACGGCACTTATTTGGTGCACACAGGAGCACATAGATCAATACGGGACAGAAAAAACCACACGCGAAATCCGGTTCACTTACTCTCGACTCGGCCGAGTTTAGGCGCTGTGTTATTTCATTCACATTGTGTTCCAGTTCGCTGCAGTATTGTCTTGTATTATTCAGTTGATGAGAGAGATTTTCCACCTGAGCGTGCATTAGGAATAAGGGTAGATTGCGCATAATTATCAGTGGCAATCAACATAACCGTAACGTGGTAAGCTTTGCTAAATATGTTAATTTAGTTCTTTATAGATTACATTTAAAGAAGATTTTATACGATCTTTTGTGTTCCTGTTATTGATGTTCAATGTCTCCTTGTTTTAGTTACTGGATTTACCGTAAAGATAGTAGTTACAATGAACGTTGAGTTGGAGAAATAAAACGAACCCCTTGGAACTCTGTTTTCTGTATTAAATAGAAAATCACTAAATTTCTAGTTAGAAATGATTAAAGCGTTCAGTTAAGCGCATTCGCCAAGCACGAGAATGGTCTCCTTTTTT